ACATGTATGCATACAAATGAAAAAGCCTGTGCACATTTAATTTTTACAAGTAAATGCCTACTTTTTATGATGCCATACTAAACTCTTCCATATTACTACTTTTCCCTAGGGTTTTGTAAAATGGTACTTTGTCTCCAAGCTACTACCCAGCCCCCTTTTATTTAAAGTAGTCAGTGGACCATTATTTGGGATGAATAAAAATTTGATGTTATGCCACAGAAAGGTAGGATTTTAGGGAGAAACCAATACAGGAAACAGGTGGAAATAGGTAAATTGAGAAGAATCCTATTGAGCAGGGATTTTTGTAGAAAACATTAAAACAAATATCAGATTCTCAGGCTGGTGGTCAGTCTAATCACAAGCATTTATTCTTAAGTGTTCTACACAGACAAAAAGCTGTTTATGGCTATATCTTGAGTTAAGTATTTGCATTTGGGCTGCAAGTTCATTTTTGGGAGAAAACATCTGTCTTCTCTGAAAACATTATGCCTTTAAAAGTGATCCCTGTGGCAGAATGTTGTTGAAATGCTTAAAGGCTTCCCATTATGTTGTTTTTCCTATTTCCTTTCTTTGTTTTCTTTTTTTTGGGGGCAGGATTTTACTCTGTTGCCCAGGCTGGAGTGCAGTGGTGTGATCATAGCTTACTGCGGCCTCAACCTCCTGGGCTTAAGTGATCCTCTCACTTCAGCCTCCCTAGTAGCTGGGACTTCAGGGGTACACCATCATGCCTGGCTGATTTTTAACAAATTTATTTGTGGAGACAAGGTCTTGCCGTGTTTCCTCAACTGGTCTGGAGCTCCTGGGATTAAGCTATCCTCCTGCCGAGGCCCCTCAGAGTGTTGTGATTAAAGTCCAATAATTTTATAGTGCAAAAGAGTGGTACATGTTTATTATAGAACTATTAGGAAGAACTGACTCAGAAGCTCACCTATGATTCCACCCATCAAATATAACCAGTTTTATTATTTAGTGATGTATTGGTTCTCTGTATTCACGGGTTCTGCAACTAACTGCAGATACAAATTATCAAAAAACCCCCAAAAATACAAAAAAACAAACCCAACACCGCAAACAGTACTACAATATAGTACAAATAAAAAATACAGCATTACAACTATTTACATAGCGTTTATATTGTATTAGGTATTATAAGTAATCTAGAGATGATTTAAAAAATTATACAGGAGAATATGCATAGGTCATATGCAAGTATTGTGCCATTTTATATCAGAGATGTGCGTATCTATGTATCTTGATATCCAAGGGGATCCTGGGAACCAATTTGTCTCAGATATGGAGGGATAGTTGTGTTCTAGGTGTATTGTGTGTAGGTGTATAAAATCAAAATTTATATTTAAGAGTATACATTTTGTTCCTTGAATATTCATTTCCTAATGAAATCATGAACATGTTGCCACATCAAAGAAAAGGCTTACCTGATTTTATACTACCATTTTAAAGTTTTACTTAGTATTTCATTGTATGGATGTATACTGTTCATATTATTGTTGGGTATTCAGGTTGTTTTCAGTTTTTTGTTTGTTTGTTTGTTTGTTTTTTTGAGACAGGGTCTCTGTTGCCCTGCCTGGACTGCAGTGGTGCAATCATAGCTCACTATAACCTTAAACTTGCGGGTTCCAGCGATCCTCCTGCCTCAGCCTCCGGCATAGCTGAGACTACAAGTGTGGACTGCTGTGCCCAATGAGTTTTTCATGTTTTAAACAACGCTGTGTTGACATCCTTGTAACTAAATCTTTGTCTACAAGGTTAGTAGTTTTCTTGGACAAGCTCCCCAGATGTGAAATTGCTGAATCCAAGGTTTTGATAATTTCATGTCTTTTTTTTTTTTTTAATTCCTAAACCACATACAGCCAAATTGTCCTCTATTGATAACCTTCCTGTCAGGCATGGGCATGGTTGTACTTTATTATTATTATTATTTTTTTTTGTCGTGATTACTGCTATTAGTAGTAATAATAAAAATTCTTACTCTATTTAGTACCCTGGTTGTTTTAGTTTTGACTGGGACTTCAGTTTTCTTCCTTGCCTAAGTCCTGTTACTTATGCCTGAATTTAAGGTGAATAGGAACATTTGCCTTTTGTCTATTGCCTACCAGGAGAAAAATACCATAGTGGGTAAGAGATTTTGTTCTAGCTGGGGGCTTCCCCATGGCAGCCAGGCTGTTGGGTATTATTGAGCTGGTCCCCTTGCAGCATCACTTCTTGAGGTTTGCAGAGATGCAATGGTAGTGGGTTAGCCGGTATTCCTTTCCAAGCAGTGGGTGGGGGTAGGGGTGCTGAGGAGTGTCTCCAACAAAGCTGGGGACTGGGAGCTGGGGGCAGGTAGGTGCTGAGTGAGTGTTTCCAATAAAGAGCAACCTGGGTATGTATGTGCTTCTAGGCAGCTAAGGAATGCTGAATAATTAATAGGTTTTCAGGGAAATATTAATTGCTATAGTTGGATATTCTTTTAGATTTAATGCCAACTATAGTTTGATTATTGAAAAATTCTTTCAGAGAATGAAAGTGTTTAGAAGCAAATGTATTAATGATAATTGATAAATATTGTTTTTCAATGTTAATATGGAGTGTAATTGACACGACTTTCAATGACGCTTCACCATCTCAATGACTTCCTTTTGATTTTAGCCATTAACTATGCAGTTGGCACTTGAAACTATAATGCATTTAGGTTAAGTTATTCCCTTTGATAAAGAAAGCTGCAGGATAGATGGTCATTAATCGTATAAAGATTGTAGGGATTTGGAAAGAAAAAATTTGGTTATTGTTTGAAGACAAAGGTATTGTCTACTATGCCCTGCCTTCTCAAATGAATTGTAGTACTTTTGAGAATTCTGATCTCTGACTCTGAAGGTGGCAGTTTAATTACCGAAACTAGAAGGTGTCACACAAACTCAGATCAGCAAATTGCCTGATTGCCTGTATATTTCAAATGTGTGTTTTGTTTTTTTTTTTTTTGAGACTGAGTTTCTCTCTTGTTACCCAGGCTGGAGTGCAATGACGCAATCTCGGCTCACCGCAACCTCCGCCTCCTGGGTTCAGGCAATTCTCCTGCCTCAACCTCCTGAGTAGCTGGGGTTAAAGGCACGTGCCACCATGCCCAGCTGATTTTTTGTATTTTTAGTGGAGACGGGGTTTCACCATGTTGACCAGGATGGGCTCGATCTCTTGACCTCGTGATCCACCCGCCTCGGCCTCCCAAAGTGCTGGGATTACAGGCTTGAGCCACCGTGCCCGGCTTTTTTTTTTTTTTTTTTTTTTTTGAGACATAGTCTTGCTCTGCCACCCAGCTGGAGTGCAGTGGCGTGCTTTCGGCTCACTGCAACCTCTGCCTCCTGGATTCAAGCTATTTTCCTGCCTCAGCCTCTCATAGCTGGGATTACAGGCATGTGCCACCATACCTGGCTAATTTTTTTTGTATTTTTAGTAGAAACGGGGTTTCACTGTTTTTAACCAGGATGGTCTTGAGCTCCTGACCTTGTGATCCTCCTGCCTTAGCCTCCCAAAGTGCTGGGATTACTGGCATAAGCCATCATACCCAGCCCACACGTTGTCTTCTTTCATGTCCATGGTTAAGACATTGAGTGGAGAGAACAGGGGCTGGAAAAGGGGTGTTGAAGTTTTGAATGGGGCATTCTGCCTATTGTACTAGCTGTGGACCCATTTAGGGAACAAATGCTGATACTGCCTGCTTAAAAGAAGACACGGTGTTAAAGAGGCACAGTTGCTTTTATGGATGGCATTTTAGTTAACCAGAAGCAAAATAAAGAACTGAAGGATTTACTATCAGATTATGCATAACCATGCACATATTGCTAAATCCTCCATGAACATCACAGATATCTAAAATGAAAGAGAAGTTTTGATTTGTTTTAGTAAATAACATTAGCTAGCACCTCCATTTCCAACCCTTCAGTCCTGTTGGGAAATGCCACAGTCTTGGGTGTGTGCTATTTTGACCTCATGTGAAGGTTCCATGACAACAGTAAGCATTAATATTGCAGATTTTCATAAGGCAATAAATCTGGATGAGGCAAGTGGCCTCAGCCTGTAATAAAGATGTGTTACGAAATTTCCCATGCCAGAAGAGACACTTAGCTGGGATTGGCCTTTCAGAAGCTGCTGATGGTGATGAGTGATAACTCCCCTTTTAGTCTTGGCATCAGATGGACTTTGTAGCTCATTGGTTTCATTGTGTTGCCTCTATGTCCTATTTAGATTTAATTGGATGGTTTACACCACTATTCTAGGTAGTTGCTGTTCTTTTCAAGAACTGTTCTTACTGAATACCCTTGGTATTTTATTTCTCTTATACAAATCCTCAATTACAACAACAAAGAAAATGCTAACATTTAACCTCAGTAGTAAACTAAGAATGCTTTAGATTAGGATTTCCATTTTGGTGCCTTTCCAAATTTGCTAATTTATATTTGGATATCCTTTTAGCATATTTTTGGTGGAATGGTTCACTTTATTATTATTTTAAAAAGATGAATGTATCCTAGCTTTTACCAAGGAACAACTCAGTTTCAGTGGAATATTTTGTCAGTATGGTGTCACGGAAATTGCACAGGATTTGAAGTCACAAGGGCCTGTGTTGGCATCTTAGTGCCATTATTTATTAATTGTGTGACCTTGGGTTGCCTCTCTGAACTCTGTTTTCTTACTATTAGGTAGGGGTGATAATATTTATTGTTATTTAGGGGTTGTGGCAGAAATGATGCTGTTCTTATGTTATGACTGAGATTCTTTCCATAGGGAGGCAGGTGCTGATGTCTCATTCCTTGTTTTTGTATGGACGGGCGGCCATGTGATTTTGGTGGAGTGGTGTTGTGAGATCTTCAAGTTAGGATCATAAAAGGTGATACAGCTTCTACCAGGTTCTTTTGGGACACTTGGTTTTGGAAGCCAGCTAGCAGGCTGCAAGGAGGCTCAAGCAGACAAATGGTGAGGCTACATCTGGGTGAGTTGAAACGCACCTGAGGTTTCAGATGGTTCTAGCCCTGGGCCATTGAGTCGCCTACAGTCTTCCCAGTGAAAGATCCAGACATCAGGGAGCAGAGACAAACATTTCAGCTTGCTTTATATAAATTCCTGACTCACAGAAATTGTGAGAGATAATAAAATGATTGTTGTCAGTTTAAGGCTTTATGTTTTGAGATGATTTATTATGCAGCATTAGATATTTGGAATAACATATATCATGAGATTTGAAGAAATAGTAGCTATCATAAAGAAATGATAGATATCATGAGATTTGAAGAAATAGTAGTTCTTCTAATTTAGCATACTGTCTCTACCACTTAGTAACTGTGTAACCTGGGGCAAAATATTTAACTTCTTTGTGTCTGTTTTCTTAATTGTAAATGAGGCTAACGATAATTCCCTCTGACCTTTTGATGAGCATTACTGATTTAATACTTGATGTGCTCAATAAATGTTACTTGTCATTGTTTTCTCTTAAACTGTATTGTTGGATTTTGAGAATGCATGAAGAAATTTATGTTAATTGTATTTTGATTTTTAAAGGAGTTATGTAAATTATGTTCATGTGCCTTTCTCTAGACAAGAAACCATTTTGAATGTAATTTTCATGAAATAAAGAAAAAGAAAAATTAATAGTAAATCTGATGCTAGTATCTGCCATCTATTTCACATATTTGTTCTAAGGTTGTATATGTCTGGGAACTTTTGGCTTTGCTTGGTAGCAAGAGGACTAATGACCCCAATTAGAGGACATTAGTAGAGAAGAAGGGATGAAGGATGGGAGATTGGAAAGAAATCCTATTTTCAGTAACTTATGTACCAAAAACTGCATGGCAGTCTTTTACCAGTGTAGTCTTCTTAGATAGTCTGAGGCAGATAATAAGAAAAGAATGGATTGTTACTTAACTTTTATTGTCCCTGGAATTGAGGTTGTTAATGCCCTTCTCTGGTGTGTTATTCGAAGAAACAGGAACAATGATTGCAGTTTTACTTTCAGGCTAAAAGCTACAGGTCTTAGCTCACGTTTCCGGGTTTGTTTCTGCCTCTGATGCTGGGTAGCTTTGTGACCTCTTTAAGCCTCAGTTTCTGCAGTTGTCAAATGGGTCTAATAGTGTTTCCTACTTCCTGGCATTGTTAAAGAAGAGTCCATAGGAATCTGTTTCCTGATCTAGCTTGGTCAGAAAAATGACTGTAATGCATTTTTAAAAATAATGGAACCCATCCCAGAGCTACAGAATTAGAATTTCCAGGGATTCTGTGATTAAGTGCCCCAGGTAAGTCTTAGGGTTGGGCTGTTTTGGGAGACATTAAAACACCATGTAAAGCTGAACAGTTAAGACCTAATAAATAAATATTATCTGCGGTTATACTTAACATTAATTTAATGTTTTAGGTAAGTTCTTTTTTATACGTCCTTTAGATTTGCTTTGGTAGATTTTGACAATTTCTGCAAAATAAACACAAGAATGGCTGCAAATGTTGGTATACCACTTAAATAAAATCTGATTCTGCTATTACTTTATGTCCATCAAAAAAGTTATGCACACTTTTCTCTTTTTCTTTCCTCTCTGGAATATATACTATCATAACTAAGTTAATGAGTTTCTTCTCAACCAACCAAACCTCATGAAATTTAGGATGACCATGGATTGAGACATCTTTTTCTGTAACATAATTAAAGAAAAATGACTTCACAGTTAGGGTTACTGAACCTTGAGGGAATTTGCCCATTGGCTGCCCATCAGGCTGTGATCAGAAGTCTTCGTGTTGTATATTACATGATAATTAAGGATGGGGAAGAGCTGTTTTAGAGACTCTAATTAAAGATCGTGTTTTCTATATAATGAGTATCTATAATGAGTTTTCTGTATAAAGCATCTGTTTAGAAAAATATTCGAGGGAGTGTATCTCATTGTCCAGCATAATCCTGTTATAACTGGTTACTTGTCACAAATTTGAATTGGAGCAACGTGGGTTTGTATCCCAGTCCTCCAGCACCATAGGGCTGTTATGCATGACATGTTGTTTGTCAAGTATTTTGCTGAATACTTTGGAGTATGATTGCTTTTGTCATCCTTGGTTACATTGTATGTCATGTTGACTCCTGCAAAATAGTGGGGAAAAGTAACCTTGGTAATGTATAATTAACTTATAAAGTAGAAAATACTTCTGTTCCTTAATCTAACATTTTAATTTGTTGGGGCATATTGTGCTAGCAGCACAGGCTTCTCTTCCAGTTGTGCTTTAAGGGTTTTATTGATTGTGCTTACCTAAGTCCTAGTTCAGTGGTTGGCCAGTGATGGGTGGTAGGACCTGGCATATTGCCAGATTTGTAACAGGAGTTCAATAAATGACTCCTTACCATTATAATTATCTGTCTCATTCTTTAAAGAACAAGTAATTGTCCAAGTTACAAAACCATTAGAATAGTGGTTTTTTTTTTTTTTTTTTTTTTTTTTTTCTTGTTGTTCGTCCCTTTCCCTTTCCTTTTTTGAGACGGGGCTCACTGTGTCACTTAGGCTAAAGTATAGTGGCATACTGCAGCCTCCACCTCCTGAGCTCAAGGTAGCCTCCCACTTCAGCTTCCCAAGTAGTTAGGACTACAGGTGCATATCACTGTGCCTGGCTAATTTTTGTAATTTTTGTAGAGATGGGGTTTTGCTGTGTTTCCCAGGCTGGTCTTGAACTCCTGGCCTCAAGCGATACTCCTGCCTCTCAGCCTTCCATAGTACTAGGATTACAGGTGTGAGCTACCACCTGGGCTAGACTAGGTTTTGTTGTTTAAACAAACAAGGTGATAAATTTCATTCTTCGTCCCCCACCCAAGCTAATGTTTTGTGCTGTTCCAGCTGGCTGTTGACAAATACAATGGGAGGAGTTCAATCAATGTAGCTTATTGGGATAGTTCTCAAATTAGAATCTGGGTTGCAGTTCCAGCTGTATGACTGGCCTTGGGCAAGATTCCTCAACCATAGTGGTTCTCAACTTGTACCTCTTATAAATGGATGGGCTGATATTTTGTGACTTGTTCAACTCCTGTGTTTTTGGCTATGTGAATCTGCTTGCTCTTTAAGAGAAGCGTTTGGGTTGGATGTGGTGTTAAAGTGGGAATGTTCTTGCAAGTCCTTTGGGAAATTTTGGTCCTTGGGTCTGTTCTGGGCCTTGTTCAGTCATGAAATGAGAAAAATATTGTTGAGTTTTATAAAGCTTGATGTTTTGAAGTTGGATGCACAAGAACATGTTTCTGACCCCTTGGGGTGTGTGTGCATGTGTGTGCGCACGCGCACGTGCGTGTATGAGTTAGGAGGTCATATGAGTTTTAAATGTCATCTGGAGCTGGGAACTGATTTCCCACCTTTTTTTTTTTTTTTTTTTTCCTGTGAACAGCATGAGGTAGACATTAAGATAACAACTTGTTGAAAGACAAAGCTTGCTTCTGTGTTTTGGCTTTTATAAGGAACACTGCAGTGACTGTCTTCATACATGTGTCAACATCCTTATGCTTCTCTCCTGTGAATACATACTAGTACATTTACATTCTGCTCATCTTTTCAGTGTCAGCTCAGGTGGTACCCCATCCAGGAAGCCTAACCTGGCAACTACCCATGCCCCCAGACTATGAGTATACATTTTTCAATGTAGTAGCTCTCCATAGATGGTAACTGACATTATTATTTTCCTTATTAGTAGAGATTCTTTCAGTGTTGTTACTTACTGTTACATTAAGGCCTCTCATGTTAAACTCCTGTGTTGCCCTGATACTGGAACACAGATTTCTGTTTCTGGCGACAGCTTTTAGGCGAGTATTTCTCCCGTCTCGCAGATGTTCAAAAGTTGGTTGGCATGAACTTAGAATTTTTTGAACGTCACCAGTGGTATTCAAGAATAGTCATTACTATGACTCATGATGTAGCTGAATAGAGGAGAGAACAGAGAATCATGACTCTGGACTGAAAATGTTGAGTGTGTCACTAAGCCTAGAAGAGAAAGTCTGTGCAGATACAAAATATGCAGCAGCAACTGGGCTCCTAAAAAGACTCAGAAACAGAAGGGGTTCTTGTCTTTTTAAAGTGATGGATCTTGCCCATCTCCTTGCCTACATTCTCTCCTACATATCAGATGATTACTGTCTTTGCTTATTTAATTCAGTCATCTCACTCTGACCCATAGACATTATATTACCCAGGTCAATTGAAAGATCACTTTGGATGGTTTCAGTCTTTTAGAGGTTATGCTTCAAAAAGTTTCACAGATGCTTACTTAATATTAGTTGTACTTTTATGATCTCTTGGTTTTGGAAAACTGCTATAAATCTGATAATGAGTAGTACTAGCCTATAGAGGTAATTATACATTACATCTGTGTAACATTACGTTTGTTACATATGTGTACATACACTCATATATAAATATATACTAATACATATACATATATATGGCACCTGTATATTATAGAAAATACTTATCTTTTACTCACATTTTTTTTAGTGCACAGATAATTTCTGGTATACATGTAGAATCCCAAAACCCTTGGAATAACCATTTTCCATCTGCCAGTTTTTGTGGCTTATAGTTTTGGGGAGCGTTGGATTGGAAGCTCTTGGCCATGCTGGCCAGTCTTCTGGCTTTTTTCTTTTTTTAGAAAGGGGAAACTGAAGCTCTTAGTTCTTTAAAATCAGTGTTTCATTTTTGAGTATTTAAAAAAAAAATTAAAGATTCTTTTAGTGTGTATGTACTTGTGTATATGTTTGTATTTAAGACTTGGAAATCCAGTTTCTAGTTTTAATTAAATCTCCTTTAATTTCTAATTTCATTAAAAATTTTTATCCCATTTATGACTTGGGTAATTTTATTTTCTTAACATCTGCCAGTGGCAACTTGCAATGCATTCCAACATTTTTTCTTCTCGACATAGCCTCATAGGAATTCTTTTGGATGTAAAGGTTTGTAATGGCACAGTGGTTCATGCCTGTAATCCTAGCACTTTGGGAGGCCAAGGTGGGTGGATCACCTGAGGTTGGAAATTCGAGACGAGCCTCACCAACATGGAGAAACCCCGTCTGTACTAATAATACAAAATTAGCCAGGTTTGG